GAACTTTAAAAACAAGGGTCAAAGAACACAAAAACGATATTCGAAAAAGCAATGGTAATCTTTCTGTACTAAGTGAACACCGTTTAGAATTGAACCATGAATTTGATTGGGATGATGTCAAGGTTGTAGATTCTGAGAGATGGTTGTATAAACGACGCATTTCTGAAATGCTCCATATCAAGTTACAAAATAATGGCTTAAATCTTCAATCTGACACCGATTTCTTACACTATTCGTATTTGTCTATTCTTAATAATTTACATTAATGTTTACATTTGATTCTTATCAATTTGCTTCAATTTCTGTATTTAACTCTTCCGTTAAAGAATTATAAATTCTAATAAATTGTAAAGGTTCATTTTCAATCACTGTACGTAATTTGTGTTTCTACGTATCTCTTCGCGCATAAGTTTGTCATATTTGTTGTTCGATTGTCGCACTTAGTCGAATACCGTCCGCTGACTTGTTCACAGTCAGAATGTTTCTTTACGACCAAATTTATTTCTTGTATTAAACAATTTCATATTATTAGTAAATTTACATGGCTGTACAGGTGAGTTCTGTTTCCAATTTCCTTTTTCTTCTTTTTATTGTGTTTAACATACTAACGGCAAATCATATTTAGAATTTCTTTCTATTCGCTGCCACGAGATTTTTCAATCTTGAGACAAAATTTATGGATTGATGGAGTTGCCACTCTCTTGTCCAGCCACGAAGATGAAATGATTATTATATCGATTCGAATTACTGAGGATGGCCCGAATTGGAGCCGAAACGTCTAGAATTAATAAGTATTATACATAATAAAAATTGTTTCTTTCTCGCACGAACTACCGCAGCTGTGACTCTCATTAGCCCATTAATGTTTATGTTATTTAAAATTCTTTTGTTTTATGATTTTCTTATTTTTATTCTTAAACCTTCCTCTTTTATGTATTCTTAAACATTTTACAGTTTTCTATTGCTATCAAGAATCATTCAGAATATCTCGATATTAAATCCGATAGAGTCTAAAGCTGAAGTCTCATTTATGTCGATGGCGAATCGGATAAAAATGGTATCATTCAACCCATGAAGCATTTCTAGGCACTCTTGATATCTCAAGAGCCTTTATATGTGAACGATGTATCCAAGCGTGTATTTGCGATGACGATAGCGAGCTCCGTCTCGTGTTCACGTCCAATTTAATTCCGACGATGTCTCTCATTGTTCGCAGAAGCCGCGGCGGTGCGAAGAACCGAGTGTCGGCGTGAGAAACGATGAACGAATCGGGACGAGCCGGGAACGAAGCGGTGCGATAATAATAATATGTGGACGACGCGGCCACGAACTAGGCGAAAGTGGCGACAACCGTCGACCCCGTCTTGCAGAGAACGTGACAATCGACGGTGGAATCACCGTCGGGACGGCTTCCGTATCATCTACTCGGTGATTCTGGCGGCCTGCATGGCGACGCAGGAAGCGAGGGGTGCTAAGTGTCCACCACCGGACACAATACCCGGATGCCCGTGTTACAACTTCGAAAACGGCGGTCTGTTCCTGGAGTGCGCAGGTGCCACCGAGGAGTCCCTCAGGAACGCTTTGTCCGGCGTGATACATGCTGCCGGCGAGGAAGGTAAACCGCCCACGATACAACACGCAAAAAGCGGGGAGAACACGTATTTCGCTCGCATACATAAGTAGAAACAGCCACTGTATAGCGATACGTAGCTACGTAAAACGATGGTAACGTTATACTGGCGGGGACAGCTGTGGCACAAAATAACAAAAAACGGAAAAACTCAAGAGATCGTTTTAGTATCTGCAAATAATTAATAAGCTACATACCTTGTTAGATTTCGTTTCTTTTTTTTTTCTTTTCTTAGCCGTCAGTTTTCAAATGTCAAACAGCTTGACATTTAAATCCACTAAGATATATCTTAAAATATATCTTAAAATAACATATTTTTGGAGTACCTCTCTTTTGCAAAAACGTTTAATTTTTCTTACCTAGTAGAAAATATTTTAGATTAATCCGCTACATTTAAGAAGATAATGCAATTTATTAATACTCGTTCTTCTTTAATCTTATATATTTTCATTTCAAAATTTCAAGAAAGGCTTCTGAAACTATTTATTTAAATTCTGTGTGCTACTTGTGTTACATTTTATATTTCGCAGATTTCCAGTTTTTAATGATAAAAATTCTCACAACATGTATATTTATTGAAAACATGATTTGTCCTTTTATTTATACTTATCGATATTCGATAAAAATATTTTATAAGTATCCGGTAAAAAATACCAAAAATGAAAAGAAGAATTTAACATTGCATTTCGCAATTATAACTTGCAAAGCGTGTCAGTGACTTTGACTGAAATATCTCGGAATTGTTCTAGGGGCGCTCGTTCAATCATTGAGCGTGTACGAATTGGATCGGAAAGTAGAGGAACTTCGGTCCGCTGCTTTCCCGGCAGGCTCGCAAATTAGGCATCTGCAAATATCGCATTCCGCGATCCGCGAAATAAGCGAGGATGCTTTTACGCGACTCAGTAAAAGCCTGGAATCCTTGGCACTCGTATCCGGTCGACTACCTCACGTACCTCAAAAGGCTATGGCTTCGCTGAGCCTACTCAAAGCGTTGGACCTGGAGGCCAACCTCGTTTACGAGCTGCCTAGCTTCAGTTTCTTTGGACTCGCATTAATTAAACTGAACCTGAAGGGTAATCAAATCATGAAAATTTCGGAGTACGCCTTTGCTGGACTCGAGGGTACTTTAAAGGATCTGGATCTAGCGGAGAACAAGATCAGAGTATTCCCCATGACATCCTTAAGAAGATTAGAACATCTCACGTCCTTGAGGCTTGCTTGGAACGAGATATCCCAGCTCCCAGAGGACGGCTATTCCAGGCTAGACGCCTTAAACTTCCTCGATCTCAGTAGCAACAATTTCAAGGACATTCCGCTCAATTGCTTTCGCTGCTGTCCGTCCCTAAAGACCCTCTCGCTTTATTACAACGCGGTCGAGTCGGTCGACAAGGATGCCTTTATATCGTTGATCGATCTCGAGTCGATAGACCTTAGCCACAACAAGATCGTATTTCTTGACGTGGCCACCTTCCGTGCCAATCAAAAGCTCAGGTCGATCGATCTCAGCCACAATCACATACACTATATCCGGGGCGTGTTCTCGAGGCTGCCCGAGTTGAAGGAGCTCTTCCTGGCGGAGAATAACATTCTCGAAATACCGGCGGAAACATTCGCCGGTAGCACGAGCCTTTCGGTCGTATACCTCCAACAAAACGCCATCAGAAGGATCGATGCGCGCGGCCTGGCGACGCTCGGTCAATTAGCACAGCTACATTTAAGCGGAAATTACATCGAGAAAGTGCCGCGTGATTTTCTCGAGCACTGTGAAAACCTCTCGACTCTGTCATTAGACGGTAATAACATCCGCGAGCTTGAAGTAGGCACGTTTGCCAAGGCGAAGCAGCTGCGCGAGCTCCGGCTACAGGATAATCAGATCACCGAGGTGAAACGTGGCGTGTTCGCACCGTTGCCATCGCTCCTTGAGTTACATTTGCAAAACAACGCCATCACGGATATGGAAACCGGCGCGCTGAGATCTCTACACAGTCTGCAACATGTGAATCTACAGGGTAATCTTCTAGCGGTGCTCGGTGATGTGTTCCAAGTGTCGAACGACGTCGGTCAGAGCGAAAACAGCGGTAGCTCTTTGGTTTCCATTCAGCTAGATAACAATGGACTCGGCGTCCTACACAATGACTCATTAAGGGGCCAGGCCTCGGTCAGGATCATGTGGCTCGGACATAATAGGCTGACTCGTCTTCAAGCCCCATTGTTCCGAGACCTGTTGCTAGTTGAACGTCTGTATCTCACGAATAATTCTATCTCGCGGATAGAAGATACCGCTTTCAAACCAATGCAAGCACTTAAATTCCTGGAGCTCAGTATGAACCGATTAAGCCATGTGACCGTAAAGACATTTTCGGAGCTCCACGAGCTAGAAGAGCTCTATCTGCAGGACAACGGTTTACGCCGTTTAGATCCTTACGCCTTGACGGCCCTCAAAAGACTGCGCATCCTCGATCTGGCTAACAATCATTTGAACGTGTTACACGATAAGATCTTCCAGGAGGGATTGCCGATCAGAACACTCAACTTGAAGAATTGCACCGTCAGCGTGATCGAGAACGGTGCCTTTCGCGGACTGAACAATCTCTACGAACTAAATCTCGAGCACAATCATTTCACTGCCACGGCATTAGACCGCCTAGATATACCAGGATTAAGAGTTTTAAGAATATCATACAACAACTTCAGTCAAATTAACGCGAACTCCTTGGACGGTTTGCCATCTCTTCAACATCTGGCGATGGACTCGTCGCAAATCTACAGAATGCCGGCCGAAATCTTTTCAAAGAATAAGAATCTGGGGAAGCTATTGCTCAGTAACAATTTACTCAGGGTACTGCCAGCAACATTGTTCCTGGGGCTCGAAGCGCTCAAGGAGGTCAAGCTTGATGGCAACAGGTTCCAAGAGGTTCCGTACGATGTGTTCGCGAATGCCACTACGATAGAATTCCTCTCTCTGGCCAACAACGTTCTTCACCGCGTGGACATGTCGCGATTAAACGGATTGACCAGTTTACGAGAACTCGACCTACGCGGCAATAACATTGCGTCTCTCACTGGTTTCGCCTCTGTCAATTTCTCCCGCCTGATATCCGTGGATCTGAGTCACAATCACTTAACGGCTCTTCCGGCGAATTTCTTCGCTCGCTCGAATATGCTGCGGAAGATCGAGCTCGCAGCTAATAAGTTTCGGCAAATACCTGCCGTTGCACTCTCGGCGCAAAATATACCCGGTCTAACCTGGCTGAACGTCACGGCTAATCCCCTCGTGAGAATACACGAGATCAGCTCGGAGGCGAAGTATCCAGCTCTTCAAGAAATTCACATCTCCGGGACGAACTTAACAATAGTTACTAGCCAAGACTTCGAGGCGTTTCCCGCGTTGATGCACCTCTTCATGGGTAGTAATATGATATCCAGAGTGTCGCCCAGTGCATTTCGCAGCCTCTCGAATTTACTTACCCTGGATCTTAGTATCAATGAACTGGAGTTATTACCGCAAGAAAGATTGAAAGGGTTGGAACACCTCAGACTGCTGAATCTCACGCACAATCGTTTAAAAGAGCTCGAGGACTTCCCGCCTGACCTTAAAGCTTTGCAAGTGCTCGATCTTTCGTACAATCAGATAAGCGGAGTGGGAAAGGGCACGTTCCAGCATTTGGAGAATTTAGCTGAACTACACCTCTACGGCAACTGGATATCGTCGATCTCCCCAGACGCGTTCAAGCCGCTGAAGAAGCTCAGGATTTTAGATCTAAGTAGAAACTACTTAGCGAACTTACCGCTGAATGCCTTTCGACCACTTGAAACGCAAATACGGAGTTTACGGGCCGAGGGTAAGTACGATTTATTATTGTATTCATATGTGTTTCGATTTCACCATATACGCATTTATGTTGAAAGTTTATTCGCTTACGATTTATAAGAAGTTGCGAAAATAATTATATAAAAAGAAACCGTGAGACATGATGTCTTTATTATAATCTATATTTAAATTTTTGTAAGATGAACTGTATTTATCTTTCCAATTCTCATCTTTTTAAGAGATAGATAAAAACAAAAGATCAATTGAACGAATAAAATAAAGGTGAAAAACATAATTTATTAACGTAAAATCTTAAAATAGTAATAGAATATACTAACATACTAATAACAAAACACAGGAAAGTATTTCCCTCCAATTTTGATAAATTTTTAATATGTTGTCCAGGCTGAAATAAGGAGCACATATTTTCTCTATATACTTGTTTGACAAAAATCGACACTAAAAAATGAAAAAAATTTTTTTAAGTAAAAATTAAGTGGTTTTGAAAATACTTTATAATATATAAAAAAAAATTTTTTAATTTTTATTTTTTATAATAGACAAAAATTTTTTTTATTTAAAAGGATTTTTTCCATCTCTTATAGTTTTGTCAATTATTCGCTTTGAACAAAACTAATCGATTTAGTATTTCACCTCCTAAAAGTGTCGAAAAGTGCGTATGAGCTCGTATAAAAAATTTATATTTCTAAAAGCTCATTAAAATAGAAAGAGAACGTTTCTCTGTGTTTTCTTGCAAGTCATCTTCAGCTTTTCTCAGAGCCACATTCTGTAGTCATTTCCTGTATAAAGTATTTATACGTTTTGAGAGTTATTCGGTTTATTGCATGAAAAAAATTCTCTTACACATTTGACGATATTACTTACACGTATAATATAAGCACACGTGACGCCATTCACACGGATCGTATCGCGTTATGTTCGACAATAGCAATCTCAGCCGGTGAGATGATTGGTCGCATGCAAAACTCACTACCGGTATATCTTCGCATGCGAGCAAATTCGACTCATAGCCGAAAATAGCCCCGCCGGGTAGTTACACTCGGAACTCCTCAACGTCGAGTGAACGATATGAACACAGAGCACACAATCACGAGCAACGTTGCAAAATATCATGTGCTATTCAGCCGCAGGGAATGGCTATAGAGTCATGGTAATTCAGGGTACCGTAAACGTCGTAGTGCTTACGGCAAAATTCAAATACTCCGAGATTTCGTAATTCACAAGATCTTCTTGGTGATCATGACGTCGTAGCGCGATAAAACTTTTCAAAGACCACCGAAACGAATGCCCGATAGACCTATAAAACGTCGAGATCAGACTCTTTCATAAGATAATCACAAACATTAAAATCCGCGCAGAGAATCCACTGCACTGCGACTGCGAGTCCCAAGAGCTTTGGGAATGGCTGCGCGACCACCAGAAGCTGGTCGGCGGAGGGATGAACCGAAATCGCGGGGGCGGACTAAGAATGAACGACGTGGACGGTGGTTTGTTGAGATGCGAGCAACCGCCAGAGCTGCGCGGACTGGTCTTCCTGGATCTGGACCCGCACGCCTTCTGCACCGCGCCCTTGGTCCTGAAATTGGCTATTCAGGACATTCAGCCCTTCTCCGTCCTGGTATCGTGGCAGAGCAGGAATCATTCTGGCCTGCGTGGTTACCAGGTGGCCTATCACGCCTTGGATAATGTCGACGAGGTACCGAAAAACAGACACTCTCATTGTGTGTAGCGCACATGGCGATGTCATCACTAAAAAGCGAGCACGGGTACAACACGAAGCATAAATCGAACGGGTGGGGCAGATAAAATGTAAAGTGTAAACGGCGTTTGATTCAATCGATATAGCCGAGTACCTCGCTGTCTATCCTTCTCTTTCTCTCTCTCGACGAAGCTGTAGCTCATCCTTCACAAAAACGTGCCGTCACATCCAACACTGTCCTCGCTGATCGATCGGTGGGAGCGCGCAAAAAAGCGACGCGGCGTTTCGCCTGGATTAAGTATTTTCGTCACTCCGAAAGAAATCGAATTTATCCATTTTTAGTAATTACAGCAGGATAATGGCGGTATGCTCATCGCTATGCACTCATTATTCCACAAGCGAGAATTTTGCGTTACATTATTTCAGCAACGGAAAAAAGGAAATTCTTTAGAGTATACATAATCTATATATATATATATATATATTCTATACAAATACAAATTAAATAAGTACAAATATATATATTATATATACATATATAAAACACACACACACACACACACACACATATATGTATGTATAATGAAAAAGAAAGGAGGTGCCCGATAAAATATGATTCCGCTGAAAATCGCTCCAAGTCATTCAGCGATAGTTTCGCACGCCTTCATATGATTAATAAGCCCAACCAAAATGTATGTATATGCGATATATGTATATTTCTTTACTTATTTGATTTATTCATATAGCGGTCTAGGGTAATTTATTATTGAAAAGCATTAATATTTCCTATAAAAAAAATATATTTTATAGAAATATTATTTTAAACAATAATATCATTAAGATCCTCGACTGGTTCTTTATTTATTTGATTTATTAATGCTTCTTTTCTTACAATTAGTTAATAAAAATAAATAAAGAGCTACAGAACATTATATACATACATATATATATATATATATATATGTATATATTTATAAAAATTGAATTTCTTATACACTTTAATATGTCACTTTCTTTTAAATTTATTCAAAGTCCTCGAAAATGTAAGCGTCACTTTTATCGCTCTAAATTCTAGGTACGTGCCAAAATACTCGAGCCAAACGCGCGCTCAGTGAAACTGTCGAAACTGTCGCCGAACACCCGCTACCTGATCTGTGTATTCGGTCTTGGTAATTGGATGACGTCACGGATGGAGGATGGCCCGATGGAGCAGCTCAATTTCACGCAGGTCGAAATACTCGCGTCCACACCGAGCTCGCAGATGACGGATTCCTCGACCAGCCGTTGCACCGAGGTGAAGACATTGGACGCGCCAGACGCAATAATTAGCAGCGATGGCTCGGCCATGGGCGATGTTGGTAGTGTCAGCAACTTCTTGACGAGACGGTTAGGCCTGATAGTAGGCTGTTGCATGGGTTTCATTGTTTTCCTCCTGCTGGTATCTGTCTTGGGTTACCTCAAGGTGAAGAAGCAACGGGAGGCAGTCAAGAGGGAACAGCAACCGATACCGCCGGAGTACATATCGTATAGACACTTCAGCATACAGAGCGGCGAAGCCGGCCACACCGCTGCCAGGCAAACCAGCCAGGACGGTCAGCACACGAACTTCATCAACAACACCACGCTGAATGTATGAGAAAAGCCGCGGAACTCCCGACTCGTGGAGGTTTCGAACGTGTAAGCAAAGCTCGAGCAATCCGAGCATGTTAACTGGTTCGAAGGCCTCCTCGACTCGTGGAAGTTTCGAGTTCACGCATCAGAGAGCCTCAAACGGACAATGTCGATTTTCGACACGACCGCCGAACTGTCTTATAAACTGATAAATTGTCGCAATTAGCAGTGCTGTGCGCTCAAGTGATAAGCGCTGAAAGTGCTATAATTGACTCGACGAATGCTCGATGCAGAGCGTCATTTTTCGAGAAGTATCACTACCAAAAAACTGGCCATGCCAGATCTCCGCGTTAATGGCAACGAAGAGTTCAAGCGAGTGAGTATGCGTGTACGTGAGTGAATGCACGAGCGAATGGGAATCTTTATCAAAGTAATAGAGCATTTTATAAAGGATTTTCTACGAGTCTGAATTCGGTTCCAAGTAGCTTTAATCACTTCACGTGGCATCGTATCGAACGAGCGCGATCGAGCGGATGAAAGGTCTCGTAAGAATTGTACAGAACAGAAAATTGATGATAGATTTCGATGATGTACGAGCGATGTTGGCTACACGTGCAGTTCTCATGTACTCTTAAAAAATCTTATAAGTTTTGAACAAGACAAGAAATATCGTACTCTCTAATCTTTGCGATGAAGAAAATTTGTAAAAAAGTACGTCAAATTCGACCAAACCGCTATCAAATTTTGCTTTAGGTCTTTATTGGATTGAGATCTTCGAAAAGTATTAGTAATGTGAAGCATTTCAAATCAATACGCGCGGTCTGACAGACGATCAGAAAGATGTCGCGTCATACATGTACATACATAGAACATAAAATATATCGACATCAAGCAGATACATGAAGCTATCCTGAACATAATGAGTGTCATTTTATCCGCAAGAAATCGATCGAATTCGCGGACGGCGAACAGTGCTTTAGAGAAGGAGGAAACAATTCTCTTTACAATATATAAAGCTTAAAACACAATTCCAAATTACAAACGATAGAAACAGAGAATGACAAATGTCGACCAAAAATTGTGTATACCAGAATTATACAGTACAATTTCTGATAGGTTGAAATGTATCATTCCCTGTTTCTATTGCCTGTGCTTTTCAATTGTGTCCAGTCTTCTTCAAGAAATATGAAATTTTGAGGAGTGTGTATGAAACTCGATCTCGAAATTCGCGCGTGCTTCCTGACAGCTATAAATGACAACGGGGGGAAATAGACGATAGATGAACTTTTGCTTCCGTGTAACACACGACACGCATTTGCTGAACGATTTACGACTAAACACTGCGTTATTACGTACCGCCCCCAGGGCCGCCGCACGCGAATGAGATCGGACGGGTGTGAAGTGGCTATTGTGTTTTCTTAATGGCTCGGCAAACCGCGCGGTTTAGAACGTCACACGCGCGCCGATCTCGCGAAATGGCGCGCCATTTTGCGGTGAACGCCCGCGGTACGACGGTACCATCAATTTCCGATTGGGCCGCGTGCAGATCATCAGAGCGACGGGACGGAGGGGAAAAATTGCTCATCCCTGCGAACGATCGATTGTGCGGATTTCAGATCCTCTGGCGATGAGAGGGTAACAGTTGTAAAAGAAAAAAAACAGAAAAAAAAATGAAAGAAAAGTGTAAATTTAAAAGAAGCTATTCCAGGTAGCAAGTCAAAGTCATTTTGACGATATTTTGACGTGTCATAAATGTTATGTAACGTCAAAAATCACAACAATAACGTCTGCTTGCTACTTGGCATTCTACGTCCGATTAGCGTTTCAGCGCGAGTTTGTAAAGTATAAGATACGAGAGCATTCGATAGTTGGATGCTTTCTATTTAATGACTCGAGTCAACACAAACATCATTCTATCTTTCTTGTTATTTAATGAATAACAAAAAAGATAGAACGACACTCGTATCACCAAATGGAAAGCATCAAATAAACATTTCTTTCAGCGAACATCAAGATATAAATAATTTTTTTATTATACCTATTTGCCGCAAGCGAATAAATTCTTCCAAAATTCTCGAAAATAAACGATGTACTCTGTTTATTAGTCAAGAAGTATGATATTCTGTCTAACGTCTGTAGACGATTAATAAAGACGCGCAGATAAGTCAGATATTAAAATTATACACGAATCTGTTTTAAGTTTTTATGTATCCCTTCTAGGTCAAATATTTGTGTCTGAACGCTAGCAACTATCGGAGAATCGGCGTTTAAGGTGACGTTCTGAGGATCGTGTTTAGAATCTATAAATATACGTGAAATACGATTGTATATAGATACACAGTATCGGGCAATTATGTATTCAGTGGCTAAGGATGTCGATATCACCGAAGGTTATTATCGTAAAAATTCTGATGATCTCTTAAATAGCGAAACAACAATAGTAGTTGAATTAGCATCGGCGCGTCGATTCTCCCTCGATTTTCAGGAGGCCAACGATGCCGGATCCATCAGAACTTTTATCGCAGTATCGATACGCGATGGACCGATGTAACGCATTTTCCATTAGGAATGAATGACGCGCGCGGACGGTGCGTTTTTTTTCGGGATTCAATTTAGATCGACAGATTGACTCGCTCGATATCGCCAATAACCAGAATATAATCACCGCGTCGAGCATTAAAACCGCAAATGCAACGAAATGTCGCGTTTAGTGCACAGGAATTTTTAATATCGACGCGAGTCCCGCGCATTTGCGTTTCGACGGGGCGACGAAATGATTATCGAGGTGATATACGATATCCAGCGAGCTCGTTATGAAAAATCGTTATAAAAATGCAGCGCTGCGAGAAACGTAACTGCTCGACGGACGCGTTCGACGGTAGTTCGTTATCGCATTACCGGATCGTTCGGGATCGACGAGAAGGGCTCCCGTTTCCCGGCCGTAGGTCGATGAGGAGAGGAGAAGAGAGTCCGGGGAGAGAAGAAGAGCGAATCTCGCGCGGAGATTGACGAAATCGGCGTAGCGCGAGGTCTACCATGGATGTATGCGCGTTCTCGTTACACACTGTGTACTGTAACATATACGTACGTCACTGTAATAAAAATGCAAATTCTTTTGTAATCAGGTGTTTTTCATCTCCCGCGCGGCTGCCGTTGCTGGCGCGAGCGCGAGCGCGAGCGAACGACGAGGGACGTGTTAATCCGTCCAGGGCCGATATCGCCGAGATTGAATCATAACTGGCCCAAGTTTTTCTTACCTACGAACTTCTCATATATATAGAGGAAGAATAAAAAACCTATATAGAGCGCGATTCTAATTCCCGAGTGCTACCTTAGATCCCATACAACACAGAAAAATTGCAGAAACAATACAGAATGATTTGTACAGACTGAAACATTGCAATATTGCATGGTGGTTGCGAAACGTTGCTGAATCCAACAATGTTAAAATGTCCGCTTTTTGTTATATTGCAACGAAACGTTCCAGCAATATTGCAATGTAATGTATTTGATAAATTTTTTATGGAGACTCTAAAATGAAAACTATTTTGTGTACACTGTATCTCACTAACTTTAATTTTTCTACAAATCACATTTTTAGTGACATGTGCTTTTCAAAAGCAATTTTTTATGATAAAACCATAAAATATTTCAATAAATGTAGCATTAATTCTGAAGGATAAATTTATTCTCAAGAATAAAACATGTATGTGTGTACCCCGAGCAAATATTATCAATCGCAAATATTATCCACATTAACATAATAATATAGTTGCTTGATAACATACATTTTTTTAAATCATGAATTAAGTTAATTGCAGTGATTCTTTTCAATTCGAAGCCACTCCGAGTCAAATGAAATCGATTAAAAAATGACGGTATGAAATTTATCAATAAAGTTCGGGCGCTGAGAGAGAGATTTATTCTTGCGATCACATCAGGCATAAATACATCATCGATCACATAATTAATATTTCGAACTTCGATGAATCGTTTTCACCAGCTTAATTGCTTATCGTCTTATCCGATAATGATGCGTTGATTGTATCCAAATTTGATATTATACAATCTTTTGATTTTATATTTAAAATAAATATAAAATTTAGCTAATGAAATGGCCGTCAAGTAATAGATTAATAAATTTTTTATTTGAAATATAAAACTGGATTATATTAATTGTTATATTATAAAAACTGTTAAACTAAAAGACTGTACTACATGAATATTATTAGGTGTTAAACTTAATTCCTATCGCTCGCTACTAGAGGGTGCTGGCTCCAATGCTGGCGAGTTTCGACGATAAAGTCACATGTCTGTTGTAGGTTAGACATCGCTGAAAGTGATTCAATCCTCACAGGTTAGATTTCTCGACGCCAAAGAGATTTTCCAATCGATTGAAAATGAATCGCGATAAGCTGTTTTTCCGACATGTGTTTCTTCACTACTTCGACTTCAAGAAAACCGCAGCTGAAGCGCATCGCTTATTATCCGAAGTGTATGGTGATGAAACTCCATCGGAAATGTAGAGTTTGGTTTGAACGCTTCCGAAACGGTGATTTTGATGTGAGAGACAAAGAACGTCCAGGACAGCCGAAAAAATTTGAAGATGTCGAGCTGCAAGAATTGCTTGATGAGAATCCAGCTCAAACGCTTTTAGAGTTGTGGAAACAGTTAAATGTTACTCCAAAGACCGATTGAGTGACGAATTGATGCAATAAAGATCATCCGTAGCCAACAATCGACGCAAAGTCATTTTGTTGCATGATAACGCTCGACCGCATGTCGCGAAAAGCGTGAAGCAGACACTTCGAGAGCTTGAATGGGAAGTTCTGCCGCACTCAGCGTACTCTCCAGAACAAAATTATTTATTAACCGTGGATCAATACAAACAATATAATAATTAAATGGCTTCGTCCACGTACACAAGTTAAGTTTTGTGCAGGATCATACAATGATCCATATTTATTACAATATATAAAACCAAACGTTTCGGTCTGTCATCAGACCATTTTCAATAGTAATACAACAAAATTGTTAAAAATTTCACAATAATAACTTTGATTAAGGTATTCATTCATCTTCCCTTCGAAACAAATCGATTTTCGAGACGAAAAAACGATAGGAATTAAGTTTAACACCTAATATAAAAAATTATATTTTTATGCCATTATTATAGTAACAATTAAAGAATTACAGTTTTGTAATGTTTCTGGAATATTACAGGCATATTACTGACATCTTGCAGGCATATTGTTAATTTACATTTCTGTAATATCTCTGCAATGTTAAACAAGGATAAAATAATGTGAATCACTTGGATGTAGAGGCCCTTTAACTGGTCATGTTCATTTTAACAAAATTTTGCGAGAGAACAAAATATATGTACTATCTCTTTCTGATTAACACGAATTGCTAGAAAATTTTGTACCATCACAAATGGCCCTCTTATGACCAATTCGTGATTAGGCTACTTGAATGGAAATATGAACCTAAAGGAGAGAGGTGTCAACTCATCATGTAACTTCGAGCAAGAATTATTCCAGCCAATCACAGGTAGAGTCACATTATTCTATTGACGCTTCTCTCCTTTAGGTTCTCTTATAGGGAAAAAGAAATGATGCCAGAGCACTTATAGAGATTCTCAAGTAAGAAATTAGACACGATACATTTGGTCCATTATATTTTTCAGCATCTGCTTAAAATAGAATGAGATAGATACATTCATCTATCTTAAGCAGGTCCTGAAAAATATGATGAACTAAACATATGATGTTCAATCACTAGTTTGGGTATATCTCTATAGCTCGGCAGTTCTCTGTCCTGCCATCTTTCCTCTCACGAACCTTTACCACTCACTGGTCAAAGTCTTCGATTTTGCAGGGGTATACTCTAAATGCACGATGAGGATTACGTTTCTCTATCACGTTACGTGGTATATAGACTTCCAATAGTATGGCTTATGTCGGAAACGGGATTGATTCATAGAATATATTAATTTCAATCGGCGATATCGGCCGATTTGAAGTTCCACCGGATTCGCAATCACATACAGACCCACCGGTGTATCGGTGGATATAAATTGACAACTTTTCGGCAGACGGAATACGAATACGAAGCAATCTCTATCACCACCGGGCCTGCCATCACAAAGAACAGGATGAAGATAATTTATTAACGGTAAGCTGCATGGAATTCTTTATTGCTTTTGTATCGATTTTTCTTGATCGGTGCACTTTCAAAGGATAAGTCAGCGATATGAAAATTTGACAGTATAATGCAAAAACATCTTTTAAAGGGAATTATTTGAACAAGAACGGATAAAATTGTATTGAAAAATCGATTAAGAAATGAGAGATCTAAATATTATTTTTCTTTATTAATCAAACAAATTTTTATTCATAATCCTAATATATTCTTTATCTTTTTCTATCTATTCCTGAATCATTTCTTTAAAATTTGTTTTTATAATTAAACAAATTTTAACTCTTTGCAGTCTTATGTCAAATTGAAATTGATGTAATATCTCGTGATAAACTACCGCATAATTCTTCAAACATTCGTACGCGATTATAAATTGGCAAATTATGTCTCCATAAATTCCTCCAAATAATATCTAAAAATTCCCCGATTTATGTTAGATCAGATTAGATGAAATTGAGGATGAGATATTTAATCAAAACAAATTGCATTCGCGAAAAATAGATGGGATTAAAGTTAGGTATACATTTTTCAATGAATCCTGTGTTATTTTATACATATTATAGACTTACAAACAAATTTTTTTAATTTATCACATAGAACAATAATGCGATTTTTAAAGGTCAGAAAGCTATTTTTTTTAATTAATATAAAATCTTTCGGATCACATAATATTTATTTTGTTTGTCTAAAATAGAAAAAAAAAATATATATATATATATTGTATATATA